TTTTTTGCACAAAGTGTAATATAAAACATTAATTTACTGATTGTACGTTTTCGGTATCGTAAATACCTTCTTATCACCTTTATGGATGAGATACATGTATGCGAACGGCTGTGCCATTGGCATAAAATGTTGATTTTTCCATTGTCTCAATTTCGAGTAAAATAACGAACACATTTCGTTCGACAAAAGACATAATTGGATTATTGGCTGCCAGAATCTGATTGTCAAATGTGGCGTCCACATAGGCCTACAGTACGTTTCCCTTGAAATAATGCCAGTATGTTTCTCATCAAAGCTTGTGATGGGCAAAAGTGGCTTTCATTAAAAATTTAAGCTACGATGCTGATAGCCTAAATGTTTATGGGTTTTAAGGTACTACATATACAGTTATAATTATGTTCACAACATCAAACCCTCTTTCTATCAATCTCTAGATCGAACCCATTAGGCCGTTTTGGTGGCATTGGTACAAACGTTTTTTTGTGTATATTTATAGGTGATTCAACCAGCCTCAGTCAACATGAGTTGATGATTGGTCTTGAAAGAGAACGTCAGAAAGTAAGTTACATGCGGCAGAGCAATAAAAAGACAAAATTGACTGTTAGTAAAACCTCAGCTGGAAATGTTTGTTATATAATTTTAAATAAATATATAAATGCCAAGTTGCAACCGAGGCTTTATGTTCACTTGAAACATACTTTTGTTGCAACAGAGTTTGTGTTAAAAAGAGTGAGCTATTCAGCTTTCATATACACAAGGAGGATACTCCTTCCAGACTTGCAATGGGAATCGATGGGTTTTACTAATATGTAGCTTAAATCACAATAATATTAGAGTGCACTTTAACCTGTGAATAACAAGGACAAGTTAGTTTTGTGTCTGCTAATGTATAGTTATCCTCTTATTTTTAGCTGGACGCTTCAGATTTAGTCAAAAATAACTGGCTCATTTTCTCGAGGTCATGGGTTATCAACTTTTAACTTTTAATTTCTCCTAGTTGTTGGCAAGGTAAAAATATTATTGGCGAATATCAGTGAAAAAGCATACTAGAATAATTCAGAAAAAAAATGTTCAGGATGTTAAGCATGGGGTATGTGGCACAAATACCCAAGTCCAAAATTTGAGCCACTTATGTAGTCGTTCAGGCTACTATAGAAGCAGGATATGGGTTGAAAGTAACAGGAGATAATGTTGAGTGAGAAAAAACAGAGAGCAATAATAAAGAAAGAATCATGTAAACCTTTAGCGGTACGTGACTGTGAAGCACGGTGGACGACGTGGTGATAGTGCGTTAGCCCTCCATCGGTATGAATATACACACAACGTTATACAGTGTATCGAACAACAACGTTTAGGTGATACATCTACTTTTCTATAGTATGGCGTTATTAGGTAGAAGGAACAGTGCCAAAAATCAATTGGCAAGTACAGGTATTCATATTTTCCCAAAGCTGGCACTTCGCTCATTGAATGTGACAATGATAACCCGTAAACCAAGTTAATTTGCAGCTCATGATCAGTTTGTATAGGCTAATTTGCTTCTTTTCTTTTTTTTCTCCTTTTTTTTGTATGATGACTAGGAACAATCTCAGCCTAGACTTGCATACCAACCTCAAGCATCATCAGCACGTTAGTAATATTATAACTTTAAAAATTATGTAATTATTCTCATTTAATTCAAATTAGAGTGTGTAGACCCCCAAATGGGACCACGTCTCAACCACAAACGTAGCAGCACTGTTTCCAAAAAACCGCACCCACAATGACCACAACTGCTGTTGCAAATGTAATGGTGGGATCACACAGTTTGGCATTTGGGGACATAAAGCAGTATGATATTTTCTAATTATTCAACAATGACTTCTTTATACGATAGCTTCACACACCCAGACAACTGAAACAAAACCACGTGGCACAACGAAAAAGTCATTAATTCAAGACGAAGTCATTAAAAAAGCTGTGTCCATGAGAAAGGGCATAAGATATAGGTATCAATCTACAGATGTTAATCCTACTCTCAACATCTGGGATTTTGCCGGCCAAGATTTGTACTACACAATGCACCAGGTAAGTAACACTTGTTTGTGTTAAATGTTTACATGTAATTATGTGCTGCATGGTGGTGCATCAGCTATGGCACCTAAAAATTATACAAGCAAACTGTCTTCCGGAAAACTAGCAAATTGTACTGCACTGAAATAATGATAAGTAGAAGTATGTTAATCTTTTTACCGTACCCTATTGTACTGCCTGAATCCTTCTCATGCGTAACTCAAAAATACTGAAGAATGCATGGTGCGGGCCAAATTGAATGGCCTCGTCCTTGACCCCTAAACAGTCCATTTAAATATCGAAATGGGCGTGCCTTTTAGACCACACAATCAAATATTTAAGGAGCTCAATGTTTATTTGAACTTGTTGGAAAATTGTTTTGTATCAGTTGTATAGAACTTAACAAATTTAACAAACAAAAAGTCTTTTGCATCAAATAGAATTACCCAATGGAGTTAATCGCTCTTTTTTTAATCTTTTTGTAGACATTTCTGTCTTCTCGAGCGGTCTACCTGGTTGTTTTTAACCTCAGCCAAGCTCTTGACAAACGATTGGGTGTAAGCACAATTTATTTTGTTTCAAGATTCATATGAAAACTAGTCTGAGGATCATTCACACATTCACGTGTGCAGAACCACACAACGAACGTCTGATATAGTATCAATGCAAGTTTCCACATTTTCATGCGATCCCATGCGCCAGCCAATCGGAGTCGACTTTTAATATAAATTGCGACGTAATTGTGGACTAAAAGCTGTTGATTGGTCAATTAGGCCGGCTACTCTGTTTTGTCACACAACAATGGGTTTAATACGGAAGACGCAAAAGTAGGCACCAGCTGAATAATGAGAATTCGGAGGTCAGAACGCTTCTTGCTCTAATTAATTACCGAATCTGCGCGAATATCATAGATGCTTGGGTGCAAGCGGCAATTCTATAGACTATATATAAAAAAAATTGATGCACTCACAAATAGATTTATAATGTTTATGTAGTGATTTGAATTAGTTCAACGGCAACAATTTAGCACCTTTCCAAATGATTTATATCATTTGTTTGAGATTGTATATAGCCTATGCCAAATTTCAAAAGGTTATCTAGTACAGTTTGTCCTGTCAGTGATTGCAAACAAAATGGTGATATTGCTTGGGTGAATCAAGTAGACATGCAGTTACTACCATGGTTTGGCAGATAAGAAAAATGATGGCTCTATCCCATTCAGAGACGCCTCTCCTTTAGACTGGCTTGTGAATAAAAAATGTGCCTAAAAACAACACATTGAGTTATTCGATGGTGTAAGATTGTGTTAATTATTTCTTCAATTGAGATGCATGAAAGGGGTCTAAAAAATTGGGTAAAAAATAAAAGGGAGAAATCAATGGAAGTTTTGACCGTAGCCAAGTTTACCCAGGCAGTAGGCAGTGGGTTAGGTTTTACTTTCCAAAGTGTGTTGAGTGTATCGGGTAAATAAGATTTTGCCTTGCCTAAGCCTATGTGTTACCTCTTTTGCTATTTAAATTAAATTTACTGTAGGGACTGAAGAATTGTCTGTGCCAATTTGGTTGTCATGTTAATGCTTGTCAAGAACGAGTACATTTCCCACAAAACTCAAAGATCACAATACTTTTAAAATGCACATGTAATTGCAGAATGTGCATTATTCTGCAATTACATGTGCATAAGGCTGTTTTACACATCCTGAAAATACCTTTAAATGATTGTTAGATATACATGTACAAGTTAATGTAGCATGAAAAGTCAGTGAATGTTGTGGTTATACATGTACATGTTGGTATGACAATCAGAACAGCAGATAATGTGTACAGTGTCCTTAAAATAGATAGCAACCTGGCAAATTTGTAGAATGTAAATTTAATGAGAGACTCACAAGTTACTATTCCTTCAGGCTCAAACAAAATAAATGTAACATCCCAATTCCAGATTCTCCAGAATTCACAGAGACTTGTATGTAAAGTATTGCTTACTCTAGTGCAGCAGATAACTGTAACCATGTTTCATATGTGAATACAAGTACCAAATTCGGCACAAATACTTCTTAGGGATTACTCTTTTGAACAATTCCATTAGCCACTTGAATTTTCAAAATGGCCACCATTTTTCCAAGATGAGCGCCATTTCCTGCATACACCTATTTAACCACACAGAATGTTTACCCACTCGACCGATTGTGATAATTTTGCTACTGAATCTTTTTTTATTTGACTAAGGAAAACTCAAATTTACAACTCTACAACTTCTTCCGAGCTTCTTTGTGCCATTTCTTACAAAGAATGTGAAAATGCATACATAAAACCCCTAATAATTGCAGCAGAGGAGAGGGGAAGAGATGCACTCTGTGCTGCCACCACGGGGGACAGTGTGGATCATGGCAGGGAGATGAAGTGCGAGCCCAATACGTTTCAGGCTAAGAGGAAGATTAGCAGGCTCCCTGACTGCCTCCTCATTCAGCTCAAGAGATTCAGGCTCAGACCTTCAGGCCATTTTCAGAAGCTCCAGACCATCGTGACGACTTCTGCTGTGCAGTCACTTGAAGAAGCACAGTTTCAGCTGGCAGCCATCATCAACCACAATGGGACTTAGGACAGCGGCGGTCACAATTACACCCTACTCAAAAAAAAAGTGGCAGCTGGTTCTCCAGCAACGACGATTAGAGCGGGTATGAAGCCCAGAAAACAATTTATTTGTCTTCCACCAGCCCTGAACCCACTCCCCTCAGCAGACGAAAGTTCCGACCACTGACAAGAGGAACCGGTTGTCAGTGCCACAGGTTGTGTCTGCAGCCGCCGCCCGTCTCAGTCCCCTCCTACCCTTCAGTCACCCAAACAACTTCCCAGCCCCGACAGCTCTGGACCAGCTCCACCCCTCAGAAAGCAGCTGCAGAAAGGAATAGGTTACAAAGGGCAAGGCTCAAAAGTGTACAAGACACCATGAACGACTTCAAAACCAGCAGAGAATTGCTGCTAGAAGGGAAGATTCTGAGTTTAGGGAGGAGGAGAGGGTGGAGGACCACCACAGGAAAGCTGCCGGGAGGGACCATTCTATGTCAGCATCATCGAAAAGAGAGATCAGAGACAACACCTCTCTGGATGGAACCCCTCGCCCACCTGCAACGGGAGGGTCACCCAGTGCTTTAGGCCCCTTCAAGCAGATCCTGGGAGAACGCGAACCCAGCTACCTAAAACAGTGCTATATTCTGCATATGTAGCAATTACTCTACGGGAAGTAGAGCGCAGTAGAATCTCCCCACCAAGGTGTGGGCTGAATCTACTAACAAATACTTCCCTGTAGAGTGTCTATTCGCCTTCCCACTTTCACGTAGCGCCGCCAATACCTCTACCACCTACACAACCATGCATGTTAGCCTAACTAGCGCTCTGTTAGCACATTTATTGATTGCATGGCTTACATAATTATGGTACATGAAAGCTTCTGAGTGATTCCATAGTTCTAAATTCAGCTTCTGCATTGTTACAAATGTATGATTCACCGCCAAGATAATTCATCTTGAAAATGGCCGTCATCTTGAATTTTTGAGTGGCTAATGCGCTTTATCAAAAGAGTAAACCCTTAGAAGCATTTGTGCCGATTTTGGTACTTGTATATATCCACATTTGAAAAATTTCCCTGAAATAATTCAGTTTTCTGCTGAACTACTCACCTTTAATTGCCAGCAATTTCTGGACTGGACGAAACTTTCCTGTTCGTACAAATTCCGCGTCTCAGATGACATTTTTGTATGATTCCACTAGGGGAGCGGCGGTTCTGTCACAAATAGGAAAACCCCTTTTCAGTATCTGGAATTCTGGATGCAGTCAATTTTCAACTACACCAAGGAAAACTGCTCACAAAAGGAATTGAAGCAGAATTCCCCGCCAATATTCATAGTTGGTACACACAGAAACAGTGTTGGTGAGAAGGGTATTTCAGAAAATCAACGTAAAGCATTGGTAAGTCCGACTTTCATGTATAGTTTATGTCGGATATTAGGGAATGATTTCCAATTGTGGCTTAACACCAATTCATAAGAGTAAGTGCTACTAGTGAGAGAGCGATTTTTATAATTTGATTGAACAAGGAGTGCTAGCAAATATTTTGTGTCTCAAGGGTGGGCAATAATCCTATTTTCCAGTTATTGTTCATGTCAGAAGACTTCTGCGTGGCTAGTGTGCCATACATAAATCTTCTGGCCTCAGCTCGCCTGTCTTTTGTTTAAGTGTAGATAAAGGAAATATTTGACCGGATTCGAGATGGGATCAAGGACAAGCCGTACTACACACATGTGGTTTCTAAATTCTACGCAATAGAGAACTCTGTAAAAGACAACAAAAAGGTATTAACATAACATTTATGGTGAAAAGAAAATAGCAAATGGAATAATTATAAAATGAAATTTGACTGAACCAGGACTAATACATCAACTCAAACTTTTATCCAACCAGTTTTTTAACCCTTGTTTTATGTCAAATCGGGTAAATGGCACTAGTTACTATGGATTAGCCCCACAAAAGAAAAAAAGAAAGAAAAAGGAGATATCAAGATGCTAAAGGATAATTTGATTTAAGTGACATCATTGTCACTACAGTGAATACTAATTATTAAATGCGTTTTATAGTGGTCAATTGAATATCCCTTAAAAAGCACTAAATGAGTAAATGTCATGAGATGAATCTGAGAAAAAAACCAGCTATTATATTGAAAAGAGATTTGAGACTGGTTAAAGGTGCCATATAAGCACCTCTTCTTTATTTATATTATTATATCCAGAAACAGATTCAAGAACTACGCAAGCACATAGAGGACGTAGCAGTAGAAGAGCCTTACATGGGAGAGAGGATCCCTTTGAACTGGATGACGTTTGATGATGAGAAGGGAAAGTTAAGTGGTGGAAAACCTGTTATGACGCTAAAGCAGGTAATATTTATGATGCGTAGCTTTATTACTGACATGTACCTATTAATATGTGAACTGAACTCCTTCCTAGTTCAAATTCTCAAAGGTTTAATGTGTTCCAAACAAGCATGCTTGGGAAACGGATCCGTAGTTTTGTGTATAATTGCTGGTGATACCAAGTAAATCAGATGCAGTTTATGATTAGCTATTTACGTGGCTGTCTCAACATTAGCCTTTTATTGAACAGCTGGTTGGTTGGAACTTAGTATTCAGTAGTCTTTCTAAATAAAAAAAATTCTGCCAACATCGCATGTGAAGGACCAAATATGGTTTAAGAAAGTTAGAGCGCATATTTGAGCAGTTATGTTAGGCTCGCTTCAACGTTGAACGTATGCCGTCTCTAATTTAATTAACTGCAATCGACAAAAAGTGGGAGATGTTGAGAGTTGTTTCAAACATCAATTTTCTGTTCAAGATGGCGGACCAGGTCAGGAGAAATAGACTTGTAGACCTTGGTGATAATTGCGCGTGTATGGATGCTTGAGACAACCATCAAATTAAAGCATATTTCATCATCTGTCAATTTCTGTTCAGAGTTTGTCTAGGGTAATCCGACGACTTTGGGGAGAAAATTCCATCCAAAGATGATCACCCCTAAAAGTAGTCCTTCGGTCCATCGCCATTTAAAAAATACTTGCGTTCCGTTGCTAAGAAGGGCAATTTTAGGGCCCAATTCCACAGAAATACGAGCTCGCAGTCCTGTGCACGGCTTCAACCCATCTCTTTTTTTTTCAAACCTTCATGTTCATGACCCACAAAATGCTCTTATAGCGAAAAAACGGACGTACAAATCGTGCCCTCGTAGATATTTTGAGCTATTTTACTGGCCTAATCGAATTCTAAGAAGATATTCAAAAAGACGTTTCGGTATCCAGGGCACCTTTGAAGCATATACCTGGGTGCCGCCATTTTGATTTAAAACGCCGACAGGTAAACCGCCGGCAGGCGCAGGCGCATTTGAAAACGGTACCACTGCGATTCTGGTTTGGGACGGGCCAATTTAATTAGACATGGCAGAAACTCTACTTTTGAACCCTTGCCACTCTTCTGCCGCTCAGAGCGGCAAGAGCTGCCGAAGTTTCGACAGAAAGTCGGCTGTGGCCTTAAAAGTTGACTTTCTGTCGTGTCCAATTCAAAATGTGGGTCATCATTTGAATTGGACACGGCAAAAATTCGACATTTGAAGAGGGCTTACTGACTCTGTTCTGAAGACCCGATTTCATTCAATGAAAATAGAATACATATAGATTTTTGCAGCACGTTACCACGTGTGTGCATATGAATGATTTCATTTAAAGATTAATTCAGTGTCTTCATTTGGATACTAGGTAATGGATGGCTTTGGGATTGAAGATGAAACTGAACTGCTGACGATGCTAAAATTCTATCACGATCTTGGCCACATAATATACTTTGGAGGGGATGGTGCTCAGGAAAGTCAGGCGCTAAAAGATGTTGTTATTCTGGATCCGAATTGGCTGATCGATTCCTTCAAGAAGATCCTCACTGTTAAACCTCCCAAAGAACAGGTAAGACTATTATGCTTAGAAGATCTTGTGCCTGCATCTAAAGTTAATCAATTTGTTGGGGGGGGGTATCACAAATTCATCTTTACTCCCCTCCCCCTCACCCTCTCCCCATCACTCAAGTTATTTGATCTGCCAGTCCTATTGGGAAACCACTTGGTTTACATGCTGTATTACCTTTTCGTTTGCTTTCTGTGGTTTTTACAAGGAACATCAAGGATAAGCAAGGTTAGTCTTGAAATGAACAAGGTTAATTTCACAGTAATAAAGATAACAATTGGAACAGCTAAGTCTTGAAAGACGATCATAGATGTTACTTGCGCTTTGAGTGCATATTTTCTGTTGTGGCTGCAGAGGTCGGTTTTACACCTGAAGCATTCGGCAGGCCCTCTTCTCTTCAACGAGCTGGTTATTTCGTTTGTCCTCCCAGGTGACCCATGCGACTACCCTTGTGTTCAGTCTTTCCGCCAAGTAAACCAGTCTTCAACGTCAGCCTCCCAAGTGTAGAGGTCCGTGTCAAAGGCTTCCATGTCCCCCTTGCACGTGTACTTGAATCGAAGGGCTGAATGTCATACGTGGTGGTTGCAACCTGGATGTTTAGGATACACTTCAGCAAGCATTGCGACCGTCATCTATTCATCGAATATTTCCTCACCAGGGAAGGTGACCCTGCATCAGCAGGTAGAACATGCTGGGGATTCAAAGATGAAAGCACCAAGATATCTCAATGCAGGATTCGATCCTGCCAGTTAGGTGCTGACCAGTATGCATTTGAGGCACTGCTTATGGAAGGTCCACGTCTCGCTTTAGTAGAGCACATGCTAAGGATGCATGCCTGGTGAAGACACACATTCTCCTGAGTGTTGGGGCCAAGTCACAGGCATGCGTGTCCCTATTTCCCTGCCGAATCCGTTGAACTTATGTCTAGCTCTGTGTCCAATTAGGACACATTGCTGGAAGGCGTCAAGCTCAGGTGGGTGGAGCTATCAAGCACTTCCCGTGCGTGTAGTAACCTTCGTGGAGTAATCTGGAGTAATCAACATGACATATGGCTGGTATCCTGAGCACTGATGGTCTTCCTTAGGCTGATTGTGAGACAAAACCCACTGCAAGCATGGGCGCAGCTGTCTGTCAGTCCCTTTGAAGAGCTTCCTCAGTGTGAGTTGCAAGGGCGATATTGTCTGCAAACGGCTTCTCAACATCTGATTAGCACCGGTCACCTCATTCACCTTTGTTTTGGCCTGCAGTGGAGCCATTGTGATGATGAGTGTCCCGTCTGACCTTTTGTGTAATTAGATGTATTCAGAGGTGTAGATGATGGCATCAGACCGTGGAGCTGATCATTGAAGTCATATCTGATGTCATCGGACGCACACAACTAAGGGGCATACACTCAATTAAGTAAGCAATTCCGGAAGCTATAGGGTGTGGCAAATTCACAGCAATTGCCGATCCACCTCTGGGCGCTTAAATACAGACCCAAGGAGTGACTTCCTGACTGCAAAACAAACTCCAGCTGGCAGGGCTCTTAAATATCTAATTTGTCATCGTTTTTTCCAAAAGAATGTGAGGGCGCTTGAGGGATCCACGGCGGGCTGCAATACTTACAATCTGTCTGGCAATTACCTGACGATGATGGCAGTCCTTCTAGTGTCGCCTATTTGATGCAGGTGATATCATCAGAAATTTCTTTGCCCATTGACCTAAGATTCCAGCTTGCGAATCGAAGGAGGCTACTTAGACGTTTTCTCATATCTTGCTTGCCTTTGCAGAATTCCGGTTGCTTGTTATGCCGAAATAACAAGCTCAAAGCTGCCATTGTAACATGCAGACATTGGCTGGTCATCACATTATTTGGCAGGGGCTTGTCAACTTGGAGCGGGGCGGTTTCTGACCAGTAGAATGTGCTGACGGAAGCAACTCGTTACCTGCCTACGGAAGCAACTCGTTACAAGAATGAAGTTGGGTTTATGCCTTGGACATTCAGCCTCCTGTGTTGTTTTCACACTACTAAGTGAGGTTGGAGTGGCCCATGTCGCTTGCCTGGGCAGAGAGTATGGAGAAACTGGATGCCGAATTAACATTTGTCCACATCGGCCACACGGATGGGGTCCAAAGGAGTGCAATACATCAGCTTGGTGTTTACACTTATACACATGCATGTTTACGTTACATACCTATCGTGGACATTCCTTCCTTTTCGTGTAGTTAAAAAAAACCTCTGGAAAAAGACTCATTTCACTCACACTATGAAAACAATTTTAACCCAAGTTTTTTTTTTATAATTCCCTTAGCTTTCTCTTCATTTTGCTACGGATAAACCTAACCCAACTATTCCTCTAAACCTGTTTTCCTTAAAGGGGGATTGTGTGGACGTGGGCAAGTCCACACAACGTCGCTGCTACCTGGTTTATGTGGACATCATTTTGTCCGGAATTCCAGACAGTGAATGTAATGCTTGTACATTTATATTCCAAATTTTGCACACATTTTATACTCCGAGTTTTTTTGTTACAGCTGACTCCTCTCGACTTGGGCTCATCTGAGGCATCAATGGTGGGACTCTTTACCCTTAGCTGAGGATAGAAATGGTAGATTGTCGACTAAACTCTATCCGACCCGAAATTGGATTCAGAGTTGTTTTTTTTTCTCTAGGCAGACTGCCGACTTAGGTTAATTAGCTATGTCTACCCCAATTTGTGCTCAGAGTTCCTTCTCCTATGCAATACAAGTCTTAAAAGGTCCACTTACCTAGTTCAACCTTGTTTTAATTCAAGGAACTTGCTGAAACTCTCCGTTATTCTGTGGAAATAGTGTCAGCGCGAAAAGCTAGATGATTGAACTTGGTTACGAATTGCTAATATTATAAAGCCGTGCTGTAAATTGGGATACTTCAGTGAGGATGGAGATGCTCAATTCCTCATTTTACCATGGTATATCGTAACCCAGTTAACCCCAGACTTCTAAACAGGGTTTTTACACTTTGGGTATGTGTAAAGACAGTTAGTTGATATTAGTTTGGTGTTAAAAAGTTAAAAAGATCTTGGTTATTGATAGGAGAGAAATTACAACATGGTCTTGGGATTATAACTTGTGTTTTACATGAAATGTGGGATAGCCTCGTCTTTATTAGCCACTTGTTGTCTTAACCTTACATACTATTCCATTGTGTTATGGATGTTTCATTGTAATTCCAGCTGCTAATTTTGCTTTCATATGATGCACATGCCCTTTAGCAGTGTCATAACTAAACATATTCATCACTATTTAAATCATGGGCATTTAGTTTTTTACCTGACTAAATTGCCAGACTTTATTCGAGTCACCCAACCTCGAGTCCGAGTCACCACTCCCGAGTCCGAGTCCCGAGTAATGAAGGTCGAGTCCGAGTCCGAGTCCACGAGTCACGAAGGTCGAGTCACAAGTCCGAGTCACAAATCACCTTTAAATTTTGAGGGACTGTGAAAACCTCAAATTGTAAATGTTACACTTTTGTTCACAGCTTTTCTCTAATTTAATTCAAGAACTGAATATATTAGAACTGGAAACGATATTATCTGGTACCAAACAGTATCTAGCTTATATTTACGCAATATTAAGTAAAGACAACGGGTTACATGTTGCGATACATTGATTTCCCACACTCATATATTAAAACCAAGCTAGCGTGTGTAAAATATCTAGATGCGTTTCCTCTGCACCGCACAGACTGTATCGCTTGCTCAGGAGAGAACCGTCTTGAAAATATTTTGTAATTATATTGAACAAAATAAGTGATTTGTGGTGATTTTGGTCGAGTCCCGAGACACACGGGTCGAGTCTGAGTCCAAGTCTGAGTCCGCAGGGTAGAGTCTTGATCCATGTCATTTGTCATAGTGACTCGAGTCCCAGTCTGAGTCACAGAAAATGGGACTCGAGTCGGACTCGAGTCCGAGTCCGAGGCACGAGTCATACCATTCTGATAATTGCTCAGTTAGAAATAGGTATTTTGGTATCTGCGTCCCATATGCTATATTATGAGTACTCACACACATCAGACAGGGATGATGTGTGTATATGCACGTATTTATGAGCAAGAGCTGAATCAGCTTATTCATCAAGGTTGAACCTAACCCCGGGGTATACCCTAAGGCTACCCATTGTTGAGCCTCAATTTTTGAAAGCCTAGTTGAACTGTGTGTCGTTTCACTCTTGTTTGGCATAAATTGAGTTTATCTTACCCTTGTGAAGTTCAACCCAAGTTTCGTACGTACGTTTTACACTTTTGTGCAACAGGGTAAATGTCAAGGGCTGCCGCTTCTGTATTTGTTGCTCGACTCAGCATCTGTTCATGTACTGTTGCGCCTAATCAGATCCCAAAATAAGAAAAATTCAAAATTCCAAATGAAGAAGCAAGTATCAAGGACATGTGCAAGGCAGTGAACAAATTGAGTGAAAGCATCCGCCTGTGATCCCAAAAGTAGATCAAACGCCACGAAGTTCAACCCAGGGGAGCTTAGCTCTGTTTGTTTCACACTTTCAACTATTCAGTGGTAAGAAATGTTGACCCGTGTCTAGGATTTAACCGATCTGGCGGTGGACATGGGTTTGGAAGGAATTTCAAAAACAATTCAATTAAAACCTGAATAATTTCTGATGAGTTCAACATCTATATGAACGAAATCATTTTTTTTTTCCCAATTGAGACTGTAAAGTATCGCAAATTTTGGGATCGACTGAACGACAATGGTATATTGGAGGATTTGCTTATCGACCACATGTGGCAAGACATCCTTGAGCACAAACAAGCCCTGCTGGATCTGATGGACAAGTTTGACCTTCTCTGTAAGCGTTTTGATGAGGTATGTTTTGTAGGCATTCACATTTCAAATCTACAATGTAACGGGTACTCTAACTTTTTAAAAAGTTTTCTGTGTGGCTCTGTGTGTGGGTAGGCCTATATGTGGTATTTTCGTTGGCCCCCAGATTTTTCGTAGGCCCCCAATTGCCCTTGGCACAGTGCCTACTATTGGGTTATCCAGGCTCGGTCATTTTGGAAGTTAACTGTGGGTGGAGGGTGACAAGCAAATGATCGTCCTGTGTACGGTCAAAACTAATGAACACTATTCATACGTTGTCGGAATGATGTCACTAAGCCTTCTCAGAAGTTTAAAAGGTATTTCAGCTTGGATTTGACTACTATAAATATTTGCATCTGATGAATAGTGTAAATATATTCCACTTTAGCCTCGGGAGGAAGAGAAAAGTAGCACTGCTTCAGCCACGGCCACACAGCCTCGTCCCACAAATGCATCTTACTATGTGCCTTCAATGTTGCGGCAGCAGACATCACGTTCACTCCAACTGGAGACAACCGAGAATAACTCAAACGTGTTCTATGTGGACTTCAAAGAATTCCTCCCTGGTAAGTCAGGACTGGCATGCCGTTAAACAGCAAAAACGTTGGGGGGGGGGGGTAAAACAGAACAGTGTCAATGATTTTGACGGCTCCAAACAGTAGTTAAAAAAAAAATGGAGGAGCACCTTTTTCGTGCATGTCCGTTTGCATGTCTGTTTGCTGTATCTTTTTGGCGTATTTCATATTCGTATGCCTCACACAAGTTATGCTGTTCAAGGTTCTACCTTTGATTAAAGTAAGCCACAACTTCTCTTTTATTTCGTTTTTAATTAACAGTTCGACAAAGAAACGGACTGGATCGGGGTTTGAACTTGCAATATCTGAATTGCCATTCCGGTGCTCTACCATCTGGGGTATCTATCCCTTATCTAAGCAAATCCCTTTATTTGATTTCTTTTCAGATGGATTGTTCCATCGGTTGGTTGTGCGAGCTTTGCGATGGTCTCAAGATTTGGGTGGAGCAAAATCAGCGAATCCCCTTCTGCTCTGTGATCAAGCAAATGTCTATGTAGATGACCATCATAAGTTTGCCCTGCAAATGGTGCACCAATCAAATCTTGCATACATCAAAGTAAGTACATTGTGTTACAAGCAGCACCTGTTTAATTTTCTGGTTGTAGACAAAAATAGTGTTGATGTAGCAAAGGAGGGGCTTCAAACTCTTTATATGGACAGAATGGACTCCGTGCACAGGTACCCCTCAACGGTTACAACAGCAGAGTGTGGTAAGACCACAACTTGAATTTGCCACAAGTGCATGGAACCCATACACAATCCGCAACATCAGAATAGTTGAGAGTGTCCAACGCCAATCGGCACGTTTTGTCAGGAAGGACTACCACCGGGAATCGAGTGTGTCTGACATGCTGACATCACTGGGATGGGAAAACTGATCTCTATATAAAGACTGGATAGCGGATATGCATACAACATTCACACAGTAGACTTTGCATATTGACCAATTCGCCCCGGTCTCACAAAGATGGCCGCGTATAATACGAACGTTCTACGCGTAAATACGCACGCGTTGTATCAACAGTTGACGCGCATTTTGGTCACGTACACATATTATGATGTTCTAAAAGGGACACATTTCCGTAGTGATTATTATTTCAAAACGCCGAAAAAGTTATATTTGCGGCATTTTAGTAACCACGACGTTAGAAAAATTGTAGTTAACCTTGGTCAGTGGTGGTGGTCAAAATATAAGTCAAGTGAACCGCGACGTTACAAAAGAAATCATGCCGTCTATAAAAACGGCATCTTGTCCTTTGTAGATCACCAGCCGGTCTCACCAATATGGCGTCAAATTCGTACATTGTGCGGCTCTGTATTAGCTATCCAGTCTTTATATAGAGATCAGTGGATGGGACACCCTACATGACAGACGTCTCCTCCATCAGGTTGAACTCCTCTACAAAATTCAACATGGCCAAGTAAATATAACTACTCCGCCGAACATTGTCCATAACACACGATCAAGCCGACACAGCCAGACCAATCAACATAACCTCATCTACAGGCAACCACTCACCAGAGTTGACTGCTACCTCTATAGCCCTTTCCCAAGAGCTGTTCGGATTTGGAACAGGCTACCAGAGGCTGCGGTTACTGCGACCACTTTGAAAGAGTTCCAGACAGAAGCTCTCCCAACTATAAGAGGGATGGAGCTACCAGTTGTATCTCTCAGGACAAATTGACAATACCACCATCCGATAAGCACCCTAATAGCACACACAAAGAGCACACATGGAATTGCAACCCACCCTCTCCAGGACAGCAGCAATGCTTTTAGGAGAGTACTCTAATGCAAGATGCAAGAAGATGGAGGGAAAATTTAAGCCTTGGAAGTTCGTGAGGAGAGTGTACGACCTCCCTTCCTATCTATTATTGTTTTTGGAATTCACATGCTGTATCCGATACTTTAGCAGTATTTCAATGACCATGACCTTCTCTGTGTTTGTAGGTGAGTGTCATGAGAGTGGAAGTTTATCCACCTCCACGACATGTCAAAGCACCTTCAGGTGATGTCACATGCAAGGTATGTTAGGTATTGCAAAATATAGTATGCCAAAAAGTGTTTAAACAAAACGGCCATAAACTTTTTGGAATAAAAAAATCTCATGTTCAATGAGCATTTGATAGTTGTGGGTAATGGTAAGGTTTTTTGCATGCACCCTCCGATCTCTGCTTACAAAAAGCTTACACTGGAAACAAACCAATTAATTTCACCTCAGAAAACATACGGACTAGTAGGAAACTATAACGTTTGCAGTTTTTCTTGCAGTACCACAAGTGCATGTTTAAAAAAAGTTACCTCACATTTTGAAGGGTATGGGTGTACATGTACTTTTTCCTTGCATTTCTATGAAAAGAGGCCGGGGACTATGCATGAAGCACGCTAAAAACATTGCATTATAGTTTTATTTTTCACTTCGTGAGCGTTGTTTTGTGTAGAATACATAGTTGTAAGACTGTTGTATTGTGGAGTCGTCTCTCTTTCAATGTGGCAAAAACAGAAATAAGTAGAATGTAATTATGTTTCACAACAGGTTAAAGACTTTGTGGAAGAGCATCTGCAGGACTTGAAAACCATGTGGATCAAGCGAATAAACTACTGCATTAGTGTGCAGTGTCCTGATAAGAAGGTTTTCCACTTTCTACCACTGAATGAATGCATGGCAAAGCCAGAAGTTGTCTGCCACTTTGAGAAATCTCATGTAGTCATCAAAACGGATGAAATCCAAGCCATGTTCAAGGAGGAAAGCTCCGAGGAAGAAGCTTCCGCTCCCGGTAAGTGAAGGCAGTGGCTCAAATCCGTGTCGGTGCGTGGGGCATTGGGAGTGACAAAAGATCCCTAGTGTCATGATACAAATGTACATCTTACGCAAACTGGCGCGCTTACAAGGGAGTCATCAAGATGACATTCAGTTACTGTCCTTGCCTTCCAATGCTGTGACTTGGGTTTGAATCCCGCCAGCTGTTTTTTTCAGTCCCTATCTGATTCTTTGGGTTTCCACCAGAATAGTTTTCTGTGGTTCTCCTCCCACCTCTAAAACTGTAATTTGTTCTCACACTTGTCTCCTCTCTACAGATTTGTTTTCAGGCTTGCGATGGCACCTAAGTTGAGGAATACTTCGTTTCGCTAACGAAATTGAATAAAAATAAAAAATGATACTAAAACAAATTATATTTTTACTTGTTTCCTTTCATTTCCGCTAAATTAACAAAAAGCGTGACTGGAAAGAACTTGTATTAAAGCTTAGTGCGTCATTAGAAGTGCATGCAAAATATTGCGTTGGAAATGTCGACTTCATCATTCGGTCTGTGTTTACTTGTACATTTATACTAACATTTTGAGGTTGGTTGACAGTTGACTTTTGCTATTATATGGTCTATACATCAGGCATGCAAGTCTTCCTCAGATATGCTGATCTCCTCTTCGTTAAACTTCTCTTGTATTCCCTTAAAAATTTAAAAACACCGCAGAGAGTCTTGTAAAGCTTTACTTTTCCTCCTTCTTTTAGTGACTGTTCATGTGCATGCCTGATACATATACATGTATATTATATAGGGTGGCTTTGAGTTGATAAAATATTCTGAAACTGCTTCTTTATTTTTTGCTATCAGTGTAGGAGTGGGTATCAGGCAGAAGTGTCCATCCGTTGAACATAGTAACTTTAATCGCACTGCCACATTAGCAAGGTTAATTTGAGGTCAACGGATGATGCACTCATCAGGGACACTTTGCACATGCCTCCAGAATTCTCTAATCATTCGGACCCTATTTACCCGCACCCCGTTCTTCATTGCCTTTCTTTATACAGTGGCGTAGCACGGTCATTTTTACTGGAGGGGTATAAACACTTCTGGAAAAGAAGGGCACTTGCACATGAAAATGGGGGCGCTGTTCAAAACCGACAACTATGCACACCAACGGACACAAATTTTATATGGTGCTTTTCAGGGAGATACATGCGTGAAATAAAAAAAAACACACCCGGAACAGCCGATGGCACAAGAAAGGGCACCACTCTTTTTAAAAAGGCCACTTCGTCACCGACACCACGAAGTAACACTTTACCGTGTTTTTAAACCATATTTTTTTTCGATTTTCAGATTTTTGGATTTTTAAACATTATTCACCAAGGCCTACCATTGCACAAAGTTTCAAAGCTTCAAGAGCTTTACTTTAATAATTACGCTTAGTATCCATGGCAACTTTTGCGCAAAAGTGACAATTTTTGTTTTCACGAAGTAACACTCAAGTTCCATTTACCATTGCAATGCATGGCGCGCACTCTGCTCATAAGTGAGCAAAAGCGTTTTCACGAAGTAACACTCTTCTAGTAATAAGTTGTATGAGCGCGCGCGCTGACCTGAAGTTGCACTTTCCTCGTGTTGAATACATTGAAGAGTGTTACTTCGTGAAAACGAAAATTTACAGTTTCGCAGCCTTTTCGGTTTCACGAACTAATACTCATCTTTTTCTCTTATTTCTTGTTTATCTAATACACAAACGGGTGAAAAACATCAGATTTCATAAATTCAATTCATCAAGTGTCCACAACGAGAAACCCAACTGAAAATACTCTGTCGTTTTGACACAAAGTGTTGTTTTAGAAGGCGTTCAACTTTAGTTGCCGTTTTCTCCGATTGCTAGTTTTTACTGGTATGTAGTTGGGTGTTACTTCGTGGTGTCGGGCAAATCTTAAAAAAGGGGCACTCTTTACAAATAATGGGGGGGGGTGTTAAGCCCCAATAAAAAAAGGGCAATTGAACAGAAAAGGGCAGTCTTTACAAACTATTGGGGTGGGGGAAATACCCCCCTAACACCCCCACCCCCTACCCCCCGCTGGCTACCTCTATGCTATATGTTTGGTAAAGTTCATTGATTTACATGGTTTGTTTTGTGGAAACAGACGTCAAGCAGTCGAGCCTATTTCTAACATTCTCTTTTTTTGCAGAACCACGTTTAGATGACAAAACTCTGGCGGCAGTCGCTAAGAGACTCGGTGCAGGCTGGGCAACACTGGCAGTTGAGCTGAGCTTTACGATGGTAGAGGTTCAGACTGTCGAAAAAAATTACGAAAACAATATCGAAAGGCAATGTCTGGAAATGCTTGTAAAATGGAAACAAACCCAATCCACCCGTGTTGAAGAGCAGATAACCACGTTGTGCACAGCATTGAAGAACATCGGAAGAGCAGATATTGCCGCATTTCTGCACGGGTAAATAGGTCTACGTGTCTTTGCTAATGTGTAATATAAATGGAATTAAAGAACGACATTACTTGCAAAAACTTGTTTTCTACGGTGGCACTGGAACGACATTTTAATATTGACCTTTTTAATATGAACCTTGTAACTTCTTAATATTGACGTTGTACCTTCGCAATATGCACGTTGCACGTAGCTTAATATTGCATTGTGGAAGTTGTTCCTTCTTAAAGTGAATGTTCCAACTTGTTAATGATCACGTTCGATCTTGTCAATGTACACCATTGATCATGCTTGATGTCAACGTTGCACCTTGCTTCTTCGCAATATGAACCATGTACCTTCGCATTGTGAACGTTTGACCTTGCATCTTGTTAATATCATTGTTGAATCGTCCTCCTTCGCAATGTGAATCATGCATTCTAAAAAGTACGAAGTCCTTACCAAGCCCTATAGTTAGATAACCAGTTATGATGGAGTTTCAATCTGACGGCTGTTTAATGTCACTTAACCCGGGCGTCTACCTTGTAGTGATTTTTATCATGACTCAAGGCTCTCTGTTTTATTTCACTCATCTTTTATAATTCATGTTCAGGCTAACCATAACCCAAGGTTGGGCATACATGTAAAAACATGCATCCTGAAGCAAATTTGTCATTGTTTCAAGGCGATCTAATCATTTCAACCGTTTACTATACACAAATTTATACCGGTTTGCTTTCTGAATGTAATGATTTCTTTCTTCGAAGTCCTTGTCAATCCCTATAGTTAAACAACCAGTTATGATGGAAATGGTTTGTCGTTTCGCCTTCGATGTTGGCCTCTTCCTCGAAACCTGAATAACTACAGATGAGGATGTGTAACCTAATATGATGTGGTTGAATAACAGGATGGGGTTAGACTAGAATTGTAACATTTTCTGGAAAGAAAGGTAATCTATACGGTGTAGATTACGTTTCGTTCCAGAAAATGTTGCATGGATGGCTATACATAGAAAAAGAAAACCGGTCAAGATGTAAACCAAAACATACATTTTTGAAATTAAAGATATATTCGTCTCCCGATGGCAAAATATCGGTGTCTATGATTGCTTACTATATACAGGTGACCCAAACAAATGCAACCCTGAAACATTTGTCCCTTTTTTCCTCAAAAACGTGATCTATGAATTTTTAAGTTTTGGATATGAGATAAAAGCTGAGAGTTTTTTCTCTTGTATACTGAAAAAGTCATAAAAACAGTACATTGCGTGGCTGAGAAAATGCAAATTAACAGGGCTTCTTCACCGGGCTTGTCAGTGACTGGCTGGGTTCCGTAATAAACTCCAAATCTAGAGGCCAAGACTACACCTACCGAAGACTATCTCAACTGGAGCTGTCCGTTGCAGACTCGTCTTTGTCGTCAGTGCGTGATCAAGTGAATTATCACAGATATATATACTCGGCCAGCAACACTCGCTGGTGAATAAGCTAGACCAAACGACTTGTAACGTAACGACACTAAAGGGAATATATAGATGTATGTGAACGGTGTCAATATTATAAGCCTGCTTGATCCTAGGTATTCACTCGGAAATATTTCCGGAAATGGTTTGTCGTTTCGCTTTCGATGTCCTCGAAACCTGACTAACTACAGATGAGGATGTGTAACCCAATATGATGTGGTTGAATAACAGGATGGGGTTAGACTAGAATTGGAACATTTTCTGGAAAGAAAGGTAATCTATACGGTGTAGATTACATTTCTTTCCAGAAAATGGTGCATGGATGGCTATACATAGAAAAGAAAACCGGTCAAGATGTAAACCAAAACATACATTTTTGAAATTAAAGATATACTCGTCTCCCGATGGCAAAATATCGGTGTCTATGATGGCTTACTAACATTTGTCCTTTTTTTTCCTTCAAAAACGTGATCTATGAATGTTTAAGTTTTGGATATGAGATAAAAGCTGAGAGTTTTTTCTCTTGTATGTTTTCTCCAAAATGCGATATTAAGCCGCGTGCAACGTGCATATTGCGAAGGTACAACGTCAACATTCAGAGGTTACAAGGTTCACATTAAAAAGGTCAATATTAAAATGTCGTTCCAAGGCCACCGTAGTTTTCAGTAAAATTACAAAGGGTACAAACAGGCCATAATTATATACATGTATGCTCTAAACCCATTAATTGGGTTTTTGTAAGCGGTTGCACGTCTATGACTGTCTACTCTAATGGCAATGAAACCGCAACAAATAATATAGAAAGCAGTATTTGAATTTTCTTTTTGATTTACGTTAAATAAATAAATCCTTGGTATACGTGATCCACAATTCCAGGAGACCACTGAATCAGGTATTAATTTGTGACTTATTTACTGCTTATTTACAAACTTTGAATGTGTGTTCCCCGTGCTCTTCAACAAATTCGATTTTTCTATTGATACATTTCCAAAGACTATGTTTTACTCCAACCAAAAACATTTAATGTTTTAATTTCATTACCAACAAGGAATTTCTGATTAAGGCAGCATGGATTAAGTCGGAACGCGTCTGGACCCGTTCGAACGAGTCCGGACGCATTCCTCTGAGTTCCAAGCCGAACAAAAGATGTTTTAGAAGCAGAATGCAAATGTAAAGCTATAATTTTCCTCCTTTTGTTAGTGACTTTTCAGTTGCATGCCTGATACATATATACTGTACTAGGGTGACTTAATTTGTGTTGATAAAATTTTCTGAAACTGCTTTATTTTGCTATCAGTGTAGAAGTGAGTATCAGGCAGAGTTTCCATCCATTGATGATAGTAACTTTTTCCGCACTGCCACATTAGCAAGCTAGGTCTATTTAGGGTCAACGGATGATGCACTCATCAGGGACTTTGCACATGCCTCGAGATTTCTCTTATCATTCGGACCCTTTTCACCCGCACCCCGTTCTTCATTGCCTATCTCTATATTTGTGGTAATGTTCATTGATTCAAATGGTTTGCTTTGTGGAAACAGAGGACAAGCAACCGTTTAACGACATCCACCTGAGAGAGATAGCCAAAGAGCTCGGCCAAAACTGGGAGAAATTAGCCACTTACCTGCATTTCACACAAGACGACACGTACAAGTTTGTGACAAACTCGCAAACTGGTGTCGATGGTGCGATTTTCAACATGTTTACAACATGGAAGCAGAGGTTCAAGGGAGGAGAAGTGGAGCAGATGAAAACAGAGATGGCGAAGGCACTTGAATTGATTGATAACTATGTACTGGCTGAGAAGGTGCGGATATACTAAGACAACAACCATGCCTACATTTGTAGCAGTGGCGCACCAAGGATTTGGCTTTGGGGGCTCTCAATTTTTTTTTTTTTTTTTGGGGGGGGGTTTGACGTTGGTGGCGTCAGGTAAAAATAAATCAACAACCTCTTTGGGGGGGGGGCTCAAGCCCCCGAGGCCCCCCCCCCCCCTTGGGTGCGCCAATGATTTGTATTGCAGGTAGCGTACAGTGGAGAGCAAGAATGAATGAAGGATTCAAGGGGTTGATTAAGATGGCTAACTACACATCTACCTCTCCACCATCAGAATGACTAAAATTGATTATTTACATACATCTGTAATGGATAATTGGCCTTTTTGAAGTTTACATAAAGACTAAGGAAATACAACATTGCAAATCTTCAGTTTAACAGTTAAATCCTTTAGTCTCTCTATGCATTGACTTCAACTCCTCAGCCACTTTTTTATTTTGTTTTAAATATCCTCGATCTTTCTCTGGACTGGGGTTATGGTTACGGTGGGGTTTAACTTCCACCCTCCGCCATTCCCCCTGCCCCTCCCTGCTCCCGGGTGGGGTGGGGTGGGGACTGAAGCCAATAGTGTAGTGCGTTGGTATATTACCTATGGGTAACCTACTTGAGAGTAGTCTATGTCTTAAAAGTTACAAAAAACGAGTTTACTTTGAGGTTTTAATTGTCCTGATAGAACTTCTACTTAATAGATTATGACATGATACTGACTGCACCCATTGGACAAGAAAGTGCGTTCTCGTTTCAAAACCTAAACGGGAGGTATCAAAGCAATTTTTTTTATCAAACCATTGCTGGTCAAAGTGGTCACAGATACCCCAGTTCTGTATTATCCTTGTAACCAACTAAATCAAAGTGAACAATTCACTGTAATATTAATACAACATTGATGTAAAAGTACCTTTAGAGTTTAGAGTATACAGAATAATTGTAGAAGTCTGCATAATATTTCACAGTTTAATAAAATCAATATGTCATGCTGTCAAATGTAAAGTAGATATTGCTTTTGAAGCTGTTTAGAAAGGTCTATGACCAGCTACAGTATGCTTTACGGATAATGTGCCTTTACAATGCAGAATATGCTTTACTTTACATCTGGCGAGTTATTATTTTCTTGTCATGTGTGCATGAAATCAAATATTGAGAAGACAAACTTAACCTCATGGTGTTAATGTAATTCTTATCTTGGAACACTCCAATTATCCTTGTTACTAACTCAATCAAACTGAATATTATCACTGTACAACATTTCATAAGATGGAATTGTTAATAATAAAACGTTGTTGTAGAAGTGCCTTAGGAGTAAGGAGTACACAAACGAATCCATATTTTGAATGTCTGTATAATATTACAGTTTAATGAAATTAATAATGTCATGGTGTCCAATGTGAATGACATATATTGCTTTTGAAGCTGTTTTAGAAAGGTCTATGTTCAGCTGTAGTATGCTGTAAGGATGATGTGCCTTTGCTGTGGAGAAACATATTTTACTATATTATATCTGATGAACTTGTTTTCTGATGGGTGTGCAGGAAATCAAACATTGTGAGGACAAACCTAACCTCAAAATGAAATCGTTAATCTCGTTATTCTTCTTATCTTGGAACATTCCTATTATCCTTGTAACTCACTTAATCAGACTGAAGAACATGAGCGTCGCGAGCGGGGGGGGGGGGGGGGGGGCAAATGTAAGGTTTAAGGGGGCAAATGTAAGGCGCTTGACCCCCCCCCCCCCCCCCCGAAAAGCCAAACAAAGAGAGAAGAAAACAAGAACAATTAGAGGACAAAGAAGAAGAAAAAAAGAGGCGCGAAGTCATATTGGTGTAAATATAGATGAGTGAGGGGCTGGGAATGTCCCTGCCCCCCTCTAAAAATGATAAATCGAGAATATGTTGGGAAATACAAGAATTAGATTTTGGGGGAAAACATGTTTGCCCCCCTCTAGAAAACAATCCTGGGGACGCCCATGCTGAAGAACTGTTGTAGAAGAATATTAGGAGTTAAGAGTTTAACAAATATGACTCGACATATATTTTAAAACATAAGTTTGGATGACTATAATATTACACAGTCTATTGAATATAATATGTAATGCTGCCAAATGTCAGATTTAGATATTACTTTTGAAGCCGTTTCACAAAGGGCTATGACCAGTTGTAGTGAGCTGTAAAGGATGGTGTACGTGCCTTTACTGTGCAGAAAAATATTTCAATTCACGATGTATTTGGTGGATTTTTTTTTTTAGATGTGTGCGTACGAAATCTAATAATTATTGAGAAAACAAACTTAACCTCTAAATGATGTTCAATTCTTATCTTGGAACATTCCTATTATCTTTGTTACTAACTCAATCTCAAGCAAACTGAACATTTTAACTGAAATACAACAGTGTTGTTGAAGTGCCTTATGAGTGACGAGAACAAAAAAATGAATCAACATATTTTAAAACTAATTTTGGATTTCTGTTTAATATTAGTTAGTTTAATGACATTAATATGTCATACAGCTGCCAACTGTAGTAAGTTAGATATTGCTTTTAAAGTTGTTTTAGAAAGGTATATCACCTGCTGTAGTATGCTGTAGGGATTATGTGTCTATAATGGTATGCATAAAAAATATTTTACGATATATCTGCATTATTGTTTGATGTGTGCGTATGAAATCAAATATCAGAATAATCAGGACACAAACTTATCCTCCTATTGATGTCATTGTCAGAACTGATGTGAATTTCCTACTTTTATTCTTATTTCTTATGTTTAGCGAATAGAACTTCTCCGTACTGTGTTAAATGTTTCCTGAGCGAGACTGGCGAAGTCTATTTTGTTTGTAAATAAAGATTTATCAATGTAAACACCTGTGTATGTTGTATTTGTTCTTCTTCCTATTGTTGATTGAGCCATGGTATGATCCAGTGTGTCAGTGTGAGTGCAGAAAGTGAAAGCGAGTGATTCTTATGCAAATAGCGCTTTTCGCCCGCTGGCTTTGGAATGCTGCAGATATCGCGCGAATGCCAGAGGACTTTGCGATCGGAATAGCAAGTCACGGTCACTCCAAAACCGTTGAGTTTGGAACCAGCAATTTCCACTTTTGAGGTGGCAGATCTGCTCGATCTACCATGGCTCAGGGTCAGTGCGCCAGAGCAAGGCGTTACCCGGCATAGCCTGATGGGCCCGTATTGAAGCTCCCGATCAAGAAGAACCCTACCCCGGCCAAGCAACACGGCGAGCCGAAGCACAGACGGCGCCTGCTTGAAGCAACTGAGACAAAAAGCTGCCCAGTCTCTGGAGGGTTCAAGGCCTTCAAGTCCAAGGGACAACCGGGAACCAACCGGAGGAGCTGACAACGCGTGATTCGCGAAAATATATTGGTGGGCCCACCATACTTTGTTAAGTATTGATTGAAGATTTGATTTGAAGTATTATTTGGAGATTTGATTTGGAAAGTTGATTTGAAGATTTGATTTGAAGTATTATTTGGAGATTTGATTTGAAAAGTTGATTTGAAGATTTGATTTGAGGAATTAGGCCTAAGTTGAAGAGTTGAAGATTGTAACATAATTTGTTTGCTATTTCTTGGTGTTTTGTTTTGGATTTAATTTTGTTCCTTGTTATTCCGTTTACTTGATTAATACCCAGTTAAGCGTTTATTTGTTTACTTTTCATTTAACATTTTGATTGATTTAATTCCTTGTTTATTTGGTTTAATTGTTTGATTTGATTAAATTCTTTTCGAATTCTATTGCTAAGTTTTACAGAGTTTTCTCCATAGTATTTTCGCTTGTTAGGGTGACAAACGGCCCGAAAATTTAAGTTTCGCAGCAACCTTTATTTGCGCGCGTTACAGTCATTATAATTCTTATCTTGGAACACTCTTTTTTGTCTTTGTAACAAACTTCATCAAACTTTGAAGATTTTCACCGAAATACAACATTGTTGCAAAAGTGTTCTTGCAAAAAGTTAGGAGTACAAACAAGTGAATCCACATTATTTTAAAAAATAATTATGTATGTCTCTTTAATATTACAGTCTGAAATGTATGAATGAAACAGTTGTCTGAATTTACTGAGCTCATCAAAGTTTATTTCTTCCATCAAAAATCCTGCAGTGTTCTTTTTTAATGTCCTTGTTAATAAACAATGCAAAGAATTCTTTAAAACAAATCACAATGAGCTCAGTAACCGTTTACAAACCAAATTTTAACTGGAAACTTGCCCAAATAATCAGAAACAATGAGCTATTTAGTTTCGCAGGTGGCTGTATTAGCAATATTCGAATTGGAATTTGAAATCGACCATAGCTGAATTGCGGCCAAATTACAAACTAAAAATGTCATCTAAATTACACATGCTATAATTAAAATACATCAACAATAGGGCATACACAAAACAATAATAGGAGAACGTTATTTAAAAAAATACTAAGAACGTATAAAGTATAAGGCTAATTAGTTTAGTCGGAAAAAGGGGGGTATCGTGCACCCTGGGAAATCAATTTCTAATCAACGTGTCTAGGTCAGAAAAAATGCGTAGAAAACTATTTGCTATGTTAAAAAATTCAAAAAATGTCCCACGTATTGTTTTTATGCAGATTAGTGCCGCCATAACCGAAAAATATTTTTTTAATTATATCTCAGCCAATGTTGCAGATAACTGAACGAACTAGGTGTCTAAACCCATGTTTTCAAGGTCAGAGATCACAATAAAATTATTTTGGAAGTCACCACATGTGTCTGTGGCACAGGAATATGCAAATTAGTGCCGCTAATACCGGAAAGTCATGTTTTTGGCATATCTCGGCCAATATAGCACATAACTACACCAGTAAGGTGTCTAAACCCATGTTTTGATGGTCAAGTATCATTAGAAGACCATTCACGAAGTAACTTTGTATGTCTTTGGCATGAAAATATGTAAATAATTAAGTGTCGTTTTATCAGATATTTGATTTTTAGCCAATATCTCGGCCAATATTGCACTTAACTACACAAGTAAGGTGTCTAAACCCATGTTTTGAGGG